CGGGAGGCGGAGGTTGCAGTGAGCTGAGATCCGGCCACTGCACTCCAGCCTGGGCGACAGAGCAAGACTCCATCTCAAAAAAAAAAAAAAAGGAAAAAAAAATGGTTGAGCCAATCCGTGGGCCCTTGAATACTGAGAAACTGCTGAGAGATGATGGGTAATCATTTCTAATACCTACCGGATTGGGCTTATCAGGTAGTGTGGATTAGGATTATCTGGAATGCGTCCCAATATGTCCCTGTTAGTAGAGCAGGTAGCAAATAGATTGCTGTCCTCAGCTTAACTGAAATCTATGTAGTCTGCCCGCCTCTTCCAAAGTTGAGATTAGGGCAGCCCCCAAGAACTTCAAAAAAGTGCCGCTCTACCCAACTCTTCGTGACTGCCCTTGTGGTCAGATCTGGCCTGGCAGTTAGTAGGGACTCTCCCAGATGAGAAAGACTGTTTCACTGCCCATGAGTTAGTATGGGAAAGAATTGTGTTACATCCTGTCCCACAGGTGGAGTTGTTTGAGTTTAAGGGAGAAGATCTCACAGAAGAGGAAGATGGCGGAATCATTCGCAGGATACGGACTCGCGGTGAAGGCTATGCTAAGCCCAATGAGGGTGCTATCGTGGAGGGTGAGACAGTACAATCTGGGCTTTCAATTCTAATTCTGATATTTAGGTCTTGTGTGGCTTTGGGCAAGTCACTTCCCTTCTCTGAGCCTATTTTCTTGTCCATAAAATGAGGGGTTGGATCATATTCTCTTTAAATCACTCCAGATCTGAGAACACAGCTAGGAGAATCTTGGGGTGATGGGGTGATGTAGGGAGGCTGATGGCATCCTTCCTCAGTCACGTGCCCTCTTACAACTCTGGTACACTGCCTCTCTTTCATACCAGTTGCACTGGAAGGGTACTACAAGGACCAGCTCTTTGACCAGCGGGAGCTCCGCTTTGAGATTGGCGAGGGGGAGAACCTGGATCTGCCTTATGGTCTGGAGAGGGCCATTCAGCGCATGGAGAAAGGAGAACATTCCATTGTGTACCTCAAGCCCAGGTGAGGGGTGGGCACTTCGTAGAGTAGGCAGGCAGGCAAACCAAGATCAAAGATATAAAATGAATTGTAGAACCAGCTGTTTGTATCCTTTTTAACTCTGGCCACACCAAACATACACCATTATGATATCCTCAGTATACTTAGAAGTGTGGCCACAATTGTCTACATCTCCTTGGATCTAAGCCAGTCTTTTCAGTCATAGTTGCTACACTTTCTCTCCTCTGCCATCGAGATTTTCTTCTCCATTAATTTATTCAGTCATTACTGAAACAGCTACTACGTGCCAGGCACTACTGAAAATTCCTAGGGGTTCGGAGACTAATAGAACATTATTTCTGCCTTCTAAATTTAGTGAGGTGCCATTTAAATTAGTAATCACACTGCTGCCTGGCTATAAGTTATTAGAAGGGTACAAAGGATGCTGAGGGGCCATCTATCTGATGGTGTGAAGAGGCCAGGGAAGATTTGCCAAACATTTGCACCAACTCTCAAGGGATGGGAAGGTGCTTTCCAGGAAATGGACGGGAAGCCTTTTCAGCCTGGAGCAGGTTAAGTGTTGCCAAGACGACACCGTGTTTTTCACCCCTGCAGCTATGCTTTTGGCAGTGTTGGGAAGGAAAAGTTCCAAATCCCACCAAATGCTGAGCTGAAATATGAATTACACCTCAAGAGTTTTGAAAAGGTAAGTTTGCTCAGGGTCTTCCCACCTAAAGTCAAGTTCCACCCTGTACGTACTCTGGGGTAACTGACAACTCTGTTTCTCTCCTGGGGTGTGGCAGGCCAAGGAGTCTTGGGAGATGAATTCAGAAGAGAAGTTGGAACAGAGCACCATAGTGAAAGAGCGGGGCACGGTGTACTTCAAGGTGAGCCAACAGTCACTGTCCTAAGGACACTCCCAGGAAGACTTGCTCTGAGCCTACCCTTCCCTTGGTGACTGAGATCATTTTCTGCCAAGAAGTGGACAGGTTGGCACCTGCCATCTTCACTTCGTATATGTGAGCTTGCTGGCCTTGCCAGTGGGAGGGGTGGGAGCAGGAACCTCTTGTGGCCATGTGTCACTGATGTCTGCAGGGTATAAGAGCCTGGTACCACTGAACCTGTGCCAGGTGCCTGAGCCTTTGTCCCATTCTAGGAAGGCAAATACAAGCAAGCTTTACTACAGTATAAGAAGATTGTGTCCTGGCTGGAGTATGAGTCTAGTTTTTCCAGTGAGGAAGCACAGAAGGCACAGGCCCTTCGACTGGCCTCTCACCTCAACCTGGCCATGTGTCATCTGAAACTACAGGCCTTCTCTGCGGCCATCGAAAGCTGTAACAAGGTGAGGCCCCCACAGAGGGCATGGAAGCAGCATTCACAGGCAGAGCTGAGCGCCAGCATGTCTGAAACTTCCCCTTGGTGACCAGGGCAGGGAAAGCAGGGTGGATCAGTGGGAGCTCTGAGGTTACAGGCCACAGGCCTGGATGCAAGTGTTCATAGCAAGCACCTTAGCTTTAGTGGTGGGAAGCAGTTGGCACAGAAGTAGGAGGACACAGGGAATGGGAAGAATCACGTAAGAGTTTTCTCCCACCTTGGTTCTTAGCCTCTCCGCTTACCTACTTGCTTTATTCTAAAGTGAATGTTGATGTCTGAAGTCTTTTTATTTCATCCAAAGACCTGCTGTCTTCCCTCTCTGCCTGTTGGATTAAATGACGTTCCTTCCTAGACCTTGGATTGTTCCATTTAATGCCCCAGGCCTTGTTCTTCCTGGGGTGGAGCCAGCCATTTGCAGTCCTGCTGAGGGGTACTTTTGGAACCCAGTCTTGGCCAGATGAGCTACAAGCCCTGAGCTCCCACGATGTTGCTTCCTCCCTGCATCCTTTAGGCCCTAGAACTGGACAGCAACAATGAGAAGGGCCTCTTCCGCCGGGGAGAGGCCCACCTGGCCGTGAATGACTTTGAACTGGCACGGGCTGATTTCCAGAAGGTCCTGCAGCTCTACCCCAACAACAAAGCCGCCAAGACCCAGCTGGCTGTGTGCCAGCAGCGGATCAGAAGGCAGCTTGCCCGGGAGAAGAAGCTCTATGCCAATATGTTTGAGAGGCTGGCTGAGGAGGAGAACAAGGTGAGGATTGGGGTGGGGAACAGCGGGAATAGCATCCCTCCACGGAACCTGGCTACTGTGGGCTCTTGGTGCCTTTGGTTGTCTGTGCCGATCCCAGAAACCAAAAGTTGCCCTTTTCCCTGGAGCATTAAGGAGCATGTGTTCCCTGCTATTGGGGCCGTGTTCTGTGATCAGTGCTAGGATCCTACCCACAAGCCCCAGAAGTTGGGTTGGTTGCTCTGAGTGTAATTCCCGATTTATGTTTTCTTGTGGGCCAGGCACGGTGGCTCACACCTGCAATCCCAGCACTTTGCAGGGCCAAAGTGGGAGGATCACTTGAACCCAGTAGGTAGAGACCTCAGTGACTTATGATGGCACCACTGCACTCCATCCTGAGTGACAAAATGAGACCCTGTCTAAAAAAAAAAAAAAAAGCTAGATGCTTTTTATGTGTGATTAAATAAATGATACATGTACGCAGTTAAATTCAAACTGTACCAGAGTATATACAGTCAAAAGTCTGCCTCCCCCACCAGAAGCAGCTGACCCTTCAGGTTCTTGTATGGTTCCAGTGTATTGCATCAGTGCACAGGCAGACATTCATGTTGCTTTCTCCCTTTCCCCTAACAAGAGGCACGTGCTCTATGATTTGGCACATACTGTGCTTTTTTCACATGATAGTAGCTGGAGGCTTATTTTACATCAGTATTTAAAGAACTTTTACATTCTTCTTTAGGCTTACATAGTATTCCATTGTGTGGATGTGGCTTATCTTAGTCAGTCAGTCAGTCCCCTTTTAGTCTTCCAGTGTTGTTGGTGTTTTTTTTCTGAGACAGTTTCACTCTTGTCACCCAGGCTGGAGTGCAGTGGCACGATCTTGGCTCACTGCAAACTCCGCCTCCCGGGTTCAAGCGATTCTCCTGCCTCAGCCTCCCGAGTAGCTGAGATTACAGGTGCCCGCCACCACACCCGGCTAATTTTTGTATTTTTAGTAGAGACGAGGTCTCACCATGTTGACCAGTCTGTCTCGAACTCCTGACTTGAGTGATCTGCCTGCCCCTGCCTCCCAAAGTGGTGAGATGACAGGTGTGAGCCACCATGCCTGGCCAGTCTTAAACAGTGTTCTAAACCAGCACTGTCCAGTAGAAATACAGTATCAACCACATGTAATTCCAAATTTTCTGGTAACCATGTTAAAAAGGTGAAAAACAAATGGAATTAAATTTTAGTTGCATTTGTGTATTTTTCAAACCATCTTCAAAATCCAATATATATTTTGCACTAAAAACACATGAGTTTGAACTAGCCACTTACAGTAGTGGCTACCGTACGGGACAATACTGCTTAGAACAGCATTGCAGTGAGTAACCTTGTGAGTTCAGAATTTGTACATATATAAGTGTTTAGTTTTGTTTGAGACAGTGTCTCTTGCCCTGTCGGCCAGGCTGGAGTGCAGTGGCACAGTCTCAGCTCACTGCAACCACCACCTCCAGGGCTCAAGCAATCCTCGTCTCAACCTCTCGAGTAGCTGGGACTACAGGTGCATGCCACCACGCCCAACTAATTTTTGTAATTTTTGTTGAGCTGAGGTTTCACTATGTTGCCCAGGCTGGTCTCAAACTCCTGGGCTCAAGCAGTCTGCCCACCTCAGCCTCCCAAAGTTCTGGGATTACAGGTGTGAGCCACCAGGCCTGGCCTATACAGATATATTTTTAGGACAGATGTAGGAGAATGGGTGTATCTGTGTAACTCTGCTAGAAATTAAGTGTGTGTTTTTTCACTTGCGATGTCAGCCTCTTTGCTGTTCCTCTTCCTTGCAGGCCAAGGCAGAGGCCTCCTCAGGAGACCACCCCACTGACACAGAGATGAAGGAAGAGCAGAAGAGCAACACGGCAGGGAGCCAGTCTCAGGTGGAGACAGAAGCATAGCCCCTCTCCACCAGCCCTACTCCTGCGGCTGCCTGCCCCCAGTCTCCCCCCTCCACCCTGTTAGTTTTGTAAAAACTGAAGAATTTTGAGTGAATTAGACCTTTATTTTTCTATCTGGTTGGATGGTGGCTTTAGGGGGAAGGGGGAAAGGAGTAGGCTGGGGGATTGAGGTGGGGAATCATTTTAGCTGGTGTCACCCCCTCTACCCTTCCCCCTTTGCACATGAACATATGTCCATCCATACATATTCATCAGAATGTTAATTTATTTTGCTCCCTCTGTTCGGTCCATTTTCCAAGGGTAGAAGAGGCAAGTGGTAGGGATGGGGTCTGATATGAACCCAGGGTGGAGAGGGAGACTCCTGGGCAGCCGTTTTCCTCATCCTGTCCCTCTCCCAGTCCATTTCCAAACGTGGCCTCCATGTGGGTGCTAGGGACATGGGAAAAACCACTGCTATGCCATTTCTTCTCTGTTCCCTTCCTCACCCCCAACGGTGTGGCTGATGTCTTCTGGTGTGATGGTGACCACCCCTTGTTCCCTGTTCTGGTATTTCCCCTGTCAGTTTCCCCTCTCAGCCAGGTTGTGTCCCGAAATCCCCTCAGCCTCTTTTCCGCACGTTGCTGAAGGTCCAGGCTTGCCTCAAGTTCCGTGCTTGAGCAATAAAGTGGAAACAATAAAACCTGGGTGTCAGACAACCCTTTTTGTTCAGCCTTGGAGGGGTGGGTATGGGTGGGTACATAATGGGTAGTGGCAAAATTAAGGGGTCACCCACTTAGTCCCAGTTGAGCTTAAATAAGTGCAGCATCTCAAATAGACACCGTAGTTGGGCAGGAAGCAGCCCCACGATGCAGGGCTTCCTGAGCACTGCACAGGCTGCAGCTGGGACGTGCGTCTATTCACTCCCTCCCTCCAGCAACCTGGCAGTTTTTAGTGCCTCTGGTTTTCTTCCCTGACGCTTAGGAAGAGGAAAGTATAAAGATCTAGAAGATCTGGGACACCGTGCATGTTCATTTTGAAGTTGGAATTGGTCTTCTGCCTACCTCTGATCTGGCAGAGGTATCTGTGCATTTTGGTTTTTGTTTTGTTTTGTTTTGTTTGTTTGTTTTTTGAGACGGAGTCTCGCTCTGTCGCCCAGGCTGGAGTACAGTAGCGCGATCTCAGCTCACTGCAAGCTCCGCCTCCCGGGTTCACGCCATTCTCCTGCCTCAGCCTCCCAAGTAGTTGGGACTACAGGCGCCCGCCACCGCGCCCGGCTAGTTTTTTGTATTTTTTAGTAGAGACGGGGTTTCACCAGGTTAGCCAGGATGGTCGCGATCTCCTGACCTCGTGATCCAGCCGTCTCGGCCTCCCAAAGTGCTGGGATTACAGGCTTGAGCCACCGCGCCCGGCTAATTTTTTGTATTTTTAGTAGCGACAGGGTTTCACCGTGGTCTCGATCTCCTGACCTTGTGATCCGCCCACCTCGGCCTCCCAAAGTGCTGGGATTACAGGCGTGAGCCACCGCGCCTGGCTACATTTTGGTTTCTTAACAAGGTAAAACTCCTGGTGTCACTAACCTCAGTCAGATAACGTTTACATGATTAAGGTAGAGAGTAAAGAGTGGTCGTGCCCAGCTTCCTTCCCAGCCTTAAGAGGAAACGGCTTGTGCTTTTTTTCTAACTGTGCTTTGACCCTTAACTCCTATGGCATGATGGGGCCCTGGGAGAAGCCAGGCAGCACAAGCCAGGCATGCTGAGCTGCCTCCAGATGATCCTGGCTCCAGGCCAGAGCCCGTGTCTGCCCTCATCCCTCTCTCCTACTGTGGGCTCTCCAGTCCTTTCCCAACAGTGATGTGGTTGTCCGCTTAGCCACATGCCTGTATAGTTCCTTCCAGAGGAAATTTATAATGGTGGAAGATTGATTTCTGTGTGAAAATTTTCACCAAGTCATACAACATGGCTGATGCTGGAGCCAGGATGAAAATTGGGGTGTGCAAGTCTCCCAGTGTCAGTATCCCTTGAGCCCAAGACACCAAGGATGCAGAGAGCTGTGACTGTGCCACTGCATGCCAGGCTGGGCAAGAGAGTGAGACCCTCTTTTTAAAAAAAGTCCCAGTGTAGGCCGGGCGCAGTGGCTCAAGCCTGTAATCCCAGCACTTTGGGAGGCTGAGACGGGCGGATCACGAGGTCAGGAGATCGAGACCATCCTGCCTAACACGGTGAAACCCCCTCTCTACTAAAAAAACAAAAAACTAGCCGGGTGAGGTGGCGGGCGCCTGTAGTCCCAGCTACTCAGGAGGCTGGGAAAGGAGAATGGCATAAACCCAGGAGGTGGAGCTTGCAGTGAGCTGAGATCCGGCCACTGCACTCCAGCCTGGGCGACAGAGCGAGACTCCGCCTCAGAGAAGAAAAAAAAAAAAAAGTCCCAGTGTGACTCTCTTACTGGGCTCACCGCGTATCACAGCCCGGTGTTTGTGGTTTGTGTCTGGGTCCTCCTGGTATTTCAAAAGTAGTAGATTCTTACCCCTGCAGCCAACAATCATCACTAACTCATTAAGCATTTATGGGGTAAGCTACTAGCACTGTACTGACAGCATCACATGAGTTAAACTTAATCCTTGCAACCATCCTACAAGGAAGGTATAACTCTAATAACCCTACTTACAGATAAGAAAACCAAGACTCAGAAGTTAAATGGAAAGGTATGCCTGAAATGGGAGGTCTCTGAACTAATCCAGATTCTCCCATGAGGTTCATTTGGCTGTGGGCAAGTCTTGAGCTTCTTTCCTCATCTGCAAAAATTGAAAGCATTCCTAAGGTTTCTTCCAGCTCTGCATCCTGTAGGATTCCAAGAATGCAAAACTGCATTTAACTGTGGAACGTTTAGAGATAAGTCTTAGTTTACGTAACATTAAAACTGTCTAGTGAGGATGTTTTGTTAAAATGCCTACAAGTCTAAGCCAAAAAATAATCGTACCACATACTCAAGGCTGCCCTGGGTCAGTGCTACAAGTTCATTTCCCAGTCAGTTGTCCCTTCCTACCAACACTTAAATCTTTCTATATGCAGAGAAACGTGCCCGAATAAAGAAAAGCTAGTAGCAAGCAGTACTGTGAGCTGTTAACAAGCTTTGCAAGTGGTCTCTAGGAAAAATTAAAATAGGGTTTATCTTGTCCTAGTGCTGGTTCTATCATCGAGTTCTATGCATTTTTATCTCCCAAGTATTTCTCCTCCCTCCACACTAGTATCATTCCCTCCCATCACCATGCACTCCAGCCTGCTCTCCTGCAAAAGGCTCCTATCTTGGATTCCCTCCTGCCCCACCTGCAGTTCACTCTGTACTGCATCCAAATCGTGTCCCTCCAAGTACTTCAATCACTTTCGATGATTTCCCATCCCATTTAGGCTAAAGAATCCTTATCATGGCCCACAAAACCCTACAAGGCTTGGCAAAGTGCACTTAACACTTGCCCTCTATACCAGCTTTGCCACCCTGAGGGTGAATGGAGAACTGTATTCCATTTCCACTGGAGAAAAAATATGTGAAAGGCACTTTATGCAGGACTAGTAAAGTGTTGTATCTTTTTTTTTTTTTTTTGAGATGGAGTCTCGCTCTGTCGCCCAGGCTGGAGTGCAGTGGCGCGATCTCGGCTCACTGCAAGCTCCACCTCCAGGGTTCATGCCATGCTCCTGCCTCAGCCTGCCGAGTAGCTGGGACCACAGGCACCGCCACCACGCCCGGCTAGTTTTTTGTGTTTTTAGTAGAGACGGGGTTTCACCATGTTAGCCAGGATGGTCTCGATCTCCTGACCTCGTGATCCGCCCGCCTCGGCCTCCCAAAGTGCTGGGATTACAGGCGTGAGCCACCGCGCCTGGCCTAAAGTGTAGTATCTTTTTAGAAAATGTCATTACTGGAAAAAAAAGTTAGAAACCAGAACTTCTCATACCTTATTCCTGTTATGTCTCAGTGACTAATTTTCCCTTTCCAAATGCAAAACACCTCAGAACCTTACAACAATTTGAAATGACAGTGCACTAAGGGCAGTGCTGAATAAAACCAATGTACGAGTCTGGACATTGTAAGGAAGGAAAATTCATTCTCTTTCTGGAATTCGTTATTGCTACCTTATGGCTACAGTTCCCCAGTTGTTTGCCAACCTCAGATAATGTGGATGCATTAACTATCCCCCGTTAGAAAACCTAGGAATAATAAAAACATTAATTTATCCTGTACTAAATGACACTATACCAATTTTTTTTATTTTTATTTATTTTTTTTGAGACGGAGTCTTGCTCTGTTCCCCAGGCTGGAGTGCAGTGGCGCAATCTCGGCTCACTGGACCCTCCACGTCCCGGGTTCAAACAATTCTGTCTCAGCTTCCCAAGTCGCTGGGACCACAGGTGCACGCCACCACGGCTGGCTAATTTTTATATTTTTAGCAGAGACAGGGTTTCACCATATTGATCAGGCTAGTCTTGAACTCCTGACCTCAGGTGATCCACCCACCTTGGCCTCCCAAAGTGCTGGGATTACAGGTGTGAGCCACTGTGCCCTGCCATGCTATACCAATTTGAGACTCAAAGTGAGAGTGAATGGTCTCAGGGATGATCAAGAAAAAGCAATGCATTTGTGAATGTCAAGGGTCCTTTGGCTAGAAGAGAGGATCAGCATGTATATTCCATATTCCATAGGATCTTCAGTCTCCTGTTTTAGAAGTGCATCAGACATAAACTGATTTGTATTTTTTTAGGTGAAATTCACATTTTTAGGTGAAACAAAGTTAACCATTTTAAATTCAAGTTTGGTGGCATTTAGTCTTTACAGTGTTATCTAGTTCCAAAACTTCTTCCTCATTCTTTGTGTTTTAACGCTATCTCCCAGTGTTTAAGTGACACAGTGACGGTGAACTTCTCATCCATCAGTAGTCTTGAGCAGACAACCCTGATGAGTGAGTTCTAGGATCAAAGCTTCCCAGAGTTTGTGGTGCATTTTAATCGGGGCAAACTTGAGGAAGGCAGTGAAACTAAGTAGAGCTCTGAATAACAGCATTTCACTCAGTGCAGAGCTGTCCCACACTACTCTGCCCAGTTTCTAGGTCAAAAAACATACCTTTCCGACACTTTAATATGCTAAGGTGTACCCTGAATGAGAGAGGGGAGGGGGAAATGGTGATATAAGCCACACTGAGCCCATTAAGAAGCCCTAGGCCCTGCCCCCAAGGTGGTGAGGCTCTGGGCCTCGTGTTTTGGGAGATCTCTGGAGACCCTGTCTTACCTGGGCACCCTGGGCAAACAGAAACCACTTTGTCTGCTGTTGGAGGATGAAGTAGACAATCTTCCTGGAAATGCTTCCCACCTAATCCCCCCCATCCCGTCCTGTGGAGATGTCTATTGTTTGTAAAGAATATGCCACCCATACAACTGTATCCATGCCACCTAACCAGGAAGATACCCTAAGTAGACAGTTCTGGGGAGTAAGATAAAAACCAGCAGAAAGAGTGCTTGGCTTAGACAAGATGGAGTTTTAGATGGTGCCCAAAGAGACCCAGCAACCATCCAACTAGAAAGGGGTCAAGACCAGGAGTGCTCTTTGTGGAGCCAGGGATCTGTCCCTATGGCTTTGCAATGCCTAGTCATAAACAACACTCACTGTACTTCAAGTAACTGACGCAAGGTGGGGAGAGGCCCAGGCATGGAGGGACTTAATTTGTGCCCTATTTCTTGGAGACCTATCTTTTCTGCCTTTCTAACTGTATTTGCCTCTCTTGACAAAAGCCAAAAAGCATGGTATAGAAGTTGTGATCATAAAGCTGGGCATGGTGGCTCATACCTGTAATCCCAGCACTTTGGGAGGCTGAGGCAGGAGGCCGAGCACTTTGATCACCTGAGGTCAGGAGTTCAAGACCAGCCTGGCCAACATGGTGAAACCCCGTCTCTACTACAAAAAAAAATTAGGTGTAGTCGTGGACACCTATAATCCCAGCTACTCGGGAGGCTGAGACAGGAGAATCACTTGAACCTGGGAGGCGGAGGTTGTGGTGAGCCAAGATTGCGCCATTGCACTCCAACCTGGGCAAGAAGAGTGAAACTGTCTCAAAAAAGTAAAAAAGAAGTTGTGATCATAATTACATGACCTTCATGGCAAACATACTCTACAATTAAAAACAGACACCCCGTATCACAGAAAGATCCAGACCAAGAAACCCAAATGATGAGGAAGATAAAACTAAGGCGTTGGGGAATCCTGAGTTGGGGTCTGATCTTAGATAACTGGGTCAGGCTAAGGCACCTGATGACAGAAGCTGGGTGATCTCATCTCTTATTCTGAGTTATTGAGTAATATATTTCTTTTAAAACCACTTTAGAGGTAAACTTTTTTTTTTTTTTTTTTGAGACAGAGTCTCACTGTTACCCAGCCTGGAGGGCAGTGGTACCATCTTGGCTCACTGCAACCTCTGCCTCTGGGGCTCAGGAGATCTTCCTGCCTCAGCCTCCTGAGTAGCTGGGACCACAGGCGTGCACCACCATGCCCAGCTAATTTTTGTATTTTTGGTGGAGTCACGGTTTTGCCATGTTGTCCAGGCTGGTCTTAAACTCCTGAGCTCAAGCGATCTGCCTGTCTCAGCCTCCAAAAGTGCTGGAATTACAGGCATGAGCCTCCACAGCCAACCTAGAGGTGAACATTTTGATACTGGTTTTGGTTTGCCCACCCCTTAAAACCTAATATGAAGCTCAGGGTTTGAACTCGGATGAGAGAATAGAGATGGGGTAGAACACGGGGTGAGGGAGCA